CAAGCGAATTCACTGCACTTGGAACTTTAAATGAAGTCAATGATTTACATTCTAAAAAACACGAATCTCCAATGAAACTCACTGATTCTGGAAGTATGGGGATTGTGTATTTGAAACAACAAGAGAAACAAGACTCTCCCAAAGAGACTAAGTCGTTTGGTATATTTAATTGAACAAGTGACTCACAATTACTAAATGCCGAGTTGCCTAATAGAAAAGTCGAATTTGGGAGTTTCACTGACGTCAAAGTCTTGCAATGAAAAAAACAGAAGTCGGGAATTTTGTTCACATTAAGAAGTTCGACTGTTTTTAACGCCAAACAATTAGCAAAGCAGTTTTTACCAATTGTAACGATATTAGAAGCAAGTAAAACAGTTTTTAAGTTCTTTGAAAACTCAAAACAAGAGTCTCCAATGAACTTTATATAAGTTGGTATTTCAATGGTATTTAAAGGAATTTCTGAATAGAAATTTTCACCGATTGAATTCACTGTTTCAGGAATTGTTGCGCCAATATTAATAGAGTCGTCAACAGTGTAAGAAATCTTTTTGAAAAGTAGTTTTGGGTTGTTGGAGTTGTGATAAGCCACGTTGTAAGAAACTTGGTACCAAACAACAACTTTATCAAATTTATATTTCTTTTTATTAATACCTTCTTGATAATAAAACATTTTCTCGTCATTTTCATGATATAAATTTAAAATTTTGATGTTGGGGAAATGTTTAATAATGTTTTGAGTGATGGGAATGGGATTTTCAAATAACTCTGAAATAAAGTTTTTAAACTTTTTAGAAACTAAAATGGAATTGCACATATCAGTAAATGTGTGAAAGTACTTTATAACATTAAACATATCAGTTGTTTGCAGTTGAGACATCTAATTTTTGTTTATTTAAATATAATTACAGTTCATTTACTTCTATTGATTTTCAATGAATTAATAAACGAATTGTAATTTTGACGAAATATAAAAAATGTTTTTATTGTTAATTCGAGTTCTTTGAAGAAAATAATAAATTGTATTTAGTATTATATTATATCATTTATAATATATTAAATTATATATTTAATAATTTATTATTATAATTTTCAATAATTATAATTATTAAATTATTAAAAAATGGTTTTAATTTTTAATTATTATAATGGTATTTGAACTGAAAATTAAACTCATACGAGTTCATATAGTAAATATTATTATTTAAACCATCTCTCTTTAAATTAAATTAAAAAATAAAGTTAATATATTCAATTAAAACTATTAATATAGTATATAATTTGTTTTATAAAAATTATACTAAGATTGTTCGGCGTTATTTTACGTGATTTATTCAACAATTGGAATTGTTTATTAAAATGGTGAAGTATGGTCAATACAACTGAGATGGTAAAACATTAATAAAAACAACTATTTTTGAATATAATATTTTGACAATAAATTATATAACATTAAATTTATTTAACTGAAAAATGATCCATTTAATTAATATTTTAAAAATAATTTATAGATATCTTATTCGTAAAATACTACAAAATCAATGAAATATATAAGAAAGGTGTTCAACATCAAAACCGAAGCTGACATTAAACTGGAGGCTCATCTAGCTATTGAATCCTTTCCTCTTCTCTGTTGTATGTGCACCAAACGTATTCTTCCACCTTCAAACTTCTATGAGTGTATAGTATGTCCATCCGACAACCATTGTATTTGTTCTGACTGTTATAAATCTTCTGGAATAACCGAAGAAGGTCATAAATATGTCGAAGAGGTGTATCCCTATTTCCTCGACAATTCTTCTGTATTTCAAATTCCATCTGTCCCTTCTGTATTAATAGCGTCATTTGCTTTATTCAAAGAAAGACGATGTCTTGGCTATCGCTATGCCGACGACAAAGTCCTCAATGAGTTTCATTATTTCACATACGACGAGGTCTTTACTAAATGTAAATCCATTGTTAATTATCTCTTAGCTCACAATATTAAGCCCGAAGACAGTTTACTCCTCTGTTGTGATTCTTGCATTGAAAGGTATATAGCGCAGACAGCTATGTACCTTGGCGGCTATCTATGTGTAGTTATAAGTAATATAACTAAACTTGGTTATATACAGAACATCTACAATAAGTGTCAGTTCAAAGCCATGTTCATATCAAAACACTTTTTAGGGCTTGTGGAGAATGACTTTGATGTGCCA